AATTGAAGCATAGCAATCATGCAGTCAATGTCGATAGATTGAAAAGAACTCGTTAATATTAGACCTTAATTCTTCAAGAAATTCTCGAGTTGTACAAGTACCTGCGAATGTGATAGAATGAAAATTTAGTCGCATTTATCATAAACATTAAAAGGTTAAGATCAAATTGATTAAAATGGATTCATAATGTCAGTGAAGACAATGTAGAGAGAGAGAGAAAGAGGAACCTCAAGTGCAATTGCAGTTGGAGTGATATTGCATACATCCTCATATCCAAGTTTTGCCGCAATATCTATTACGACACAAAACGAAATATTTATTTCCACAAGCAAAACGAGGAAGGCGAAGATTTATTTTTATTTTTTGATTTTTAAGTTATATCAGCCGAAAGAATAAATGTGCATTAAAATCATACTTTGAAGAGAAACTCTAACATCTGCATTGGCATAAGCTTCACCCCTCTCTTCAAAAAGGGCAGATAACCGCTTCATAGTCTAGACAAACCCCATATCATGCGAGAAAAAATAAATAATTAATTAATAAAAATTTCACAAATGTTACATTGAAGTTCAATCCAACCACAAACAAACCCATTTATCATGCCTCGAGATGTTCTTTTTTTTTTAGGAAAGCTTTGATTAACTTTCACAATTTAAGGTAAATATAATGAAATAAACATTTTTTTTTTCTTGGTGCATATTGCAACCTACCTTAGAATAAGGATCTCCGGATTCATGATGCAAAAGGGGCCGAGAATGAGTTCCAACAGTTGTGATTCTTTGTGCTAAGGCTTCCAAAGGCACGTCTAACCAAACAGTTACACCCTTTCGCATATGTCTCCTAATAAGTCAAAAGAATCAACAGTTTAAGACAAAAGATTTTTTTATCTTGCAAAAAGCTAATACAATAATTTCACACATTATTACCAATTCACAGGCCGAATCACTGCACCTCCACCTGTGGAAACAACTAACCGACGCATTGAAGACAATTCATGCAATACCTCAGTCTAAAAAGAAAAAAAAACACAAGAAAAGAAGAAAGAAGGACAAAAAAAAAAAGGAAAAGTAAGCACATTGATTCAAACATAGTAAGGCAAGATAGGAAAAGTTTGGATTTATGAAGATAAAAGCAACAGATTTGACAAGTTAAATAATGCCGTTTAACATGAGAGAGGGAGAGAGTTCCTGAGAGAGAGAGAGAGGTCCTGTACTTGCTGGTAGGCCGGATATTATACGCTCGACAGGTAACAAATGCTTAGATACTGACTAACCTCATTATCTCTGAAAAATTTCTCGCCATATGACTTGAAGATTTCAGCCACTGTTCTTCCACCAACAGCCTCCTCTATCATTTTGTCACTGAAATATTAAAAAATAACATGATGAATAAGGACTAGCAATTCTGGTGAAGTGTGCACTTTCAATGTTTTTGGATGATATAAAAACAAACAAATTACTAAAACTATAAGGGCTAGCAATTGCAATTCTGGTCCTGCAAGTATGTGGGGTAACACTTTTTGTCCTCCTAAGCTTTGAGTTTCTGAAATTCTCCGTCCTACAAAATTTCATTTCTCGCATTCCACTCCTATATGTTTTCAGTTTGTTCAATTTCGACAAAAATATTAGTCTAACATATGATTTATTCACAATATTCCCTTAAATGCCAAAAGTCCAACGACAGTGAAAGTTGCAAGAGTTGAAAGACTAAAACTGGCAATCCCCAATAGTTTCAAGACTGAAATTGCAACTTATTAGCCTTCATTCCTCACTTACAATTAAAAGATGTTAATATATGGGGCTAACCAGTCATAAAATGAATATCCAAGGGCTTCTGCCAAAACCTTGCCAATGGTTGTTTTTCCCGATCCCATCATGCCTGCAAATTACAAGGAAAAAAAGCAAGAAAAATAATTTAAAATTCGAACACCAATAGGCAACCGATATGTTGATTTAGCGAGTACCCACCAACAAGGTATATACATCTACCATGCAAATATGGTTCAACCTCTTCCGATTTATTCTGCAACAGCATTCACGTACGAGTGACGAGTCAAATCAAAAGCTTACTTCACAGTTACACTTTGGATGGCCCAAATTTTCTAGTACACCAACTAATAGATATGCAAAGACAATGCACCTCCTTGGACACTACGAAAAGTTGAACTTTCATTGCAGACATTGCTTAAATGAAGAAAAAACGTCATAAGAACTTACCTTTATTATCTTAGAGTCATCGAAAAAGGCAGGAAACCTGCCAGCCTCCAGCAAGGAAGCTTTGAGAACAAGAAAAAAAAAAACAAAAAGGATATCAATAGCTGATGAATTACTTCTTTACAATTAATTCAACAAAGTCTTCATTAAAACATAGAGTTGAAATGAAATACCAAGCGATGAGCATCAAGATTTTAAAGTCTACGGGTGTAGATAAGTTCTAAAAAATGGTTTGAACATGCCAAGCAAAAATAAATGAAGAAGTGGATATCTTTATTAATCTCACCTGTGGCAATTGCACATCGTTGCACCTGTGAACAACTATCCAAAAAGACTCTTACGCAGTGATGGATTGGAAAATGGTCGGAAAAAAAATAAAAATAAAATAAAATAAAGAAAAAGAAAGAATTGAATTCTTCATTCTGACATTTCAATTTGTTCCTATATGACTAACTAGTGATGCAGATCAAATTTCCAACGTATTACAGGGCCAGGGTAGACTGCGATAAAATGAACTTCTTCTGAAAGCACCATCACATTAAGAACTTAAGAGTAGCATTCTCAAGAAAACTAATCACAAAAAGTTGACAAAATCAAAAGAAAATACAAAGGTTCAGGGTAAAGATAATCAAACAAGCTACTAACTCAAGGGTTTACCTGAACTACTATCGGAACATGAGACCCTTAAAACTTTAGGTCCACGAAACCTTAAACTTGTGGCTAGCAGACGACAACTAGCCGGTACCTGGTAAACCGATCGCTCCCCATACTTCTGAAAAAAATGCAAAGAATTGTTCGGTTTTCTTGCGATATTTTCCGGGTTCATCCATGTGCCTAATTGCAAGCCCATGGAAGAAACTCCTGCCTCCATATTGTATCACTATCTTTTCTTCCCAAGAGAATCTCTCTACACCCCCAATAAAATAAAAAACTCGAAAGTCAAATACTAGGTAACCAAAAATTTAACAGAAACCAAAGTCTAATTTCGCACATTCTGCAAAGAGCATAAATAAAAAATCAAGACTTTAACTTGATTAAAACAAAAAAATCACAATCATTTGTATCATATTCTATTTCCACTAATCAAACATGCTATAATTTCACACCTCACAAAGCAAATGCACCGCAGAACAGGATTCCAAGATCAGCCCAACAAACCCAGATGAAAAAATAACCAAAAATTTAAAAAAAAAAAATGGGGGGGACAAATTCAACTCAACCCATCCAAGAAGGTGGAGTATAAATAGAAGGGTCTCAACAAAATCCGATTAAGAGATGATAATTATCCACTTAACAAGAGATTTGACAGGAAAGTTAGGAAGATGCTACGGTTACACGATGATCTAACGATTACAAACTCCAACGGGATGATTCCGAAAGGTAATTAAGTACACGGAGAGCCTTCGCTCACCAGAAATTCCTAATCCGAGTGGTAGTTGATGATGTGGAGATGGCGGTAGGTGGCCCTTTTACCAGTTCAAAACACAGCTATACTTTCTTAACTTGGCGATGGACCCTATGAATTTAGGGGTTGGGGTTTGGTAGGAAGGTGCTTTTGTGACTGTAGCTCGGAAAATAACACAAAGCAAAATGATGGCTTGGCCAAGCGTGAGATTAGTCTTTGTCTGAGGTTAAGGGAAGAATGGCGAAAACGGAAATTTTGCTTCACATTCGATTCTGTTCTTCGCCTGGTAATGACCATATTTAGGGTCGAATCAATCCACCTAATTATTATGCTGTTAACATAACTCTTTAAAATTGTAATGTGATATTTTTTTTTTGTTCGAAACGATAGAGATATGATATAACTGAAAAATCGCACATCTTCTTTATATATAATTCCCGAATGCGCTGAGCCTATTCTGGTGCTTCGGAGTCCTACTTGGCGAAGAATCATGCTTCGTAATTAGGTTTGGACAAATAATATTTATATATTAATAATTAACATAATAGCAAATATTAAAAAAATATAAATATTTTATTTTTTATTCATATGTATATTGAATTTTTAGAATTAAAAATATTTGAACACGGCAATAAGTTGATTAGAAAAAAATAATAATTTCAACTAGTATAAAATTTTATTTATTATACTATGACTCTATAAATTATGTATTACATAGTTTATTGAAAATGTGTCTTTTATTAAAGTAAAGTTTAACAACTACTTTTAGTAATATTTTTTAAATATAAAAAGTCAATTTTGAAAAAGTAACAAAAACTTATAAGCTGAAATATAATGATAAAAACTACTCTATATAATAATTAAACAATGGATAACATGTAACAAATTACTTGTGAAGACTTATTGCCAAATACATGAGTCGATTGCTATTAAAATACAAAAAACATATTGCTATTTTATTTTTATTACTTTTTATTCATATTTAAATTTAATTTCTAGAATTAAAATATTTGAACATGATAATCAATTGATTACAAAAAATAATAAAGTATATCTCTGACTTTTGATTTGTTTCCTTCAATTAGCTATTGAATTGTAAATGTATTTTAAAAGTTGATAACTTGTTTATTTGTTATCGGTTTGCATATATAATATATCAAATTAATCATCTTTTGATGATCTTCGATTTGACATCCATATTGTATATATGAAATAAATAAATTATATTTATTTTTATAATAATAAAAAATAATACTATTTATTAAAATTCATTAGAAAATAAAATTATTTCTCAATTGATATATTTATATTTAATGTAGTTATATGTTGTAAGTTATTATTATTATTATTATTATTATTATTATTATTATAATATAACACAAGTATGTCGCACAAATAAAAAGTGTCATATTAGATATATAATAATATATATATTTTTATAAAAAATATTTAAATTTTCAACTACTTTTTCTTATTAATTTTAGACTTTAAGAACAAAATTAGCAAGCACTTGTGTAATACACGGGCGCTGTACTAGTTGTAATATGATACCTGAAAAAACTATTTAATATGTAAATATATATTTATATATATAATTGCTAGCAAAATTCATTTAATTTTATTTCAACTTCAATTAATAAAACTTGGAGTTCATTTAATAAAATTTCTTGCCAGCATTTAATAAAATTAGACACATCGTTTAATAAAATTATTTATGATACATACAATAAAACAGTTACACATAGAAAAGATTAATATTACTAAATATTTAGTTTGTAATGATTTCGTATACAATATTAAATATAATCTGTTTTTATATTATATAAACATCCTAATTGACGTTACAGAAATAAATAAAAAAATAATTAATTTTTTATATTAGAAAAATACAACAACATTATCATCTTCAACCAACTCAACAAATTGTTCCTACAATACATACAAAAATTAGTAGTCATAGTTTTGGGAGTATACCATGACCAATCAATATACTGACAAAATTTTAATAAAATTATTTTTAATTTTCCCTCCATTTTCACCTATCACATTAGTACACTGTAAAAATTAATTCTAATACCAACTAATAACAATCCACACTAAAAAGAAATTGTTTAGTATAAACAATTCTATTGTAAAATTTTTTCTTCAAGATATTTATTCTAAAATAAATATTATCCTTTTTTTTGTACTATTAATATTATATGCATATGCATAACTTATAATACTTTTATTTATATTTATGCAAATTCACAGAGTGGGATACTATTGCGTAGTGGTGATTAGTTAAAATTATGTAAAGTGAATTAAAATTGATATAATGTGTAAGATGAATGATTGATATTATTTAATTATACTGATAATATTGAAAATGGTGAAATTAAGTTAAAATTGAGCTAAATTTAAATTTAAAAAATAACTGATTAAAAATGATTAGATTTTTTTTAGAAATTTTGTATCGGACATTGTCCTAATTTTATATTATTTAATATACGGATATTGTCCTAATTTTATATTATTTTACATGGAGAACTTATTTAACTGAATGTGATTTTTCTCGAAGGAATGTGAATTAACTTTTATGAATAAAGGTACTACTTCATAGTTTTAAAACTATCAACCCGTTAGGTCTTCGGGTCACCGGGTCAACCGCCGGGTCATCGGCTCAATTGCTGAACCGGATAATTAATTTTAAAATTTATAAAATTATATATAGATTATTTTGTGATATATAAATATACATAAAAATAACAAAATTAAATATTTTGTATGTAAAATATGTAGATTAAAGTGGTAATAATACGTATATATTTACCATATAAATATATATACATAATTTTATTTTTTAAAAAGAAAAAGAAAATTAAAAAAAAAAATTAATATGGGGACAAGGTCAATCGAGTTGACTCAGCCGGGTCAATGCCCCGAGTCGACCAGGTCAAGGCCGGGTCGGCCGGGTTTTGACCGGGTCCGTTGTTGGCCGGTCCACAAATAGGCCACCCAGACCGGTTCCGGCTCCAGGTCGATCGGGTCCCGGGTCGACCCGCCGGGCCGGGCCGGGTCACAAAACACTATACTACTTACCTTATTTCCCTTCCCTATCAATATTAGGTGGATTTAGAGGTAAGTATAAATGCCACGTTTAGTTTGCCTACATTATCCTTCTCTCTCCATTATTTCACCAAGGACATGTACTTGTTGTACTACTCCATTTTTTATGTAAGTATAACCAAACCGGACAAATGTACATACTTATTATCGTTATTCAACGAAACGAGCTATTCGTAAAGTTTGGCTCAATTCAGCTCGTTTAAATCGAGTTTGGTTCGGTTCGTTTAATAAATGAGTCGAACTCGAATTTACTTAAAGGTCATTCGTTAACGGCATGTCGGGCTCAACTCAACTCGTTAAGATTCGAATTTGGTTCAACTCGTTTGATAAAAGTGTCGAATTCGAGCTTGCTTAAAGCTCGTTTCTTTAATAAGTTGAGCTTGGCTCAACTTGAAAAAAAGATTTTTTATATAATTTTTTATATTTCGCCTCGTTAAAACACGGGATCGGCTTGTTAATATTGATAAACGAGTTGAGCTCGAGTTCGATTTTAGCTCATTTATATTATGCTTTTTGTCTCATTTTCATTTTGTTTTCGGAAATAGAGAAAATGAAGTAACACCAGCTCAATTAAAAGAGGCGCATCCAGATTTATTAAATAAAATCTCTCTCCAATATTAAAATAATCAATATGGCCTTCTTATTATTTCTCTTCCCTATAACAATTTTGTACTCTATAATACAACTCCCCTATATTTCTCTCTCTATCTCTCTCTTTCTACCTAATTATATATTTATATGTTATACATTATTATTATTTTAAGTATCCTATTTATCTTATTTACTTTTGAAAAAAAATATATATTATTTTATAGCTTAATATTACTTCACTAAATAAAAGTCTTTTAATGTATATTTAAATTTATTTAGTAATATTTAATGAAAACATACACTAACTATTAGAATGCTGACATCATGTTATTATTCTTTATGTAGGGTGCAATAATTTCTTTATTGAATCTGTTTGTAGTTGCTAACGTTCCTAAGGTTGCATTTTATTTTTTTAGGTTATATAATTCTATTGTTTAATTTTTTTTTTAAAGAAATGGGCTATAAATTCTATAATTTTTTTGTTAAATAATACTCAGGACATTATTTTCGTGTTTGGCCCAGGACCTTATAATGTTCAGGACAGGCCCTGTATAGGTCTATACATACCCCCTTCTATATATTTATATATGTGTGATGAGTCCTTCCTAGATCTGAATTGAACCGGTTGAGATGATTCTAATTTGCCTGAAGCGTCGCGTGCGTACATGCAAGAACAAAACCCAGGTCTGAATTGAACCGGTTGAGATAATTCCAATCTGCCTGAACCATCGCGTGCGTACATGCAAGAACAAAACGTCAGAGGAGTTCTCGATGAAGAGTCTCTCATGCCTAAGTCAGTGATGATGATGCTTTGAAAATGATATCAGTTTAATGTATGGATAGTGCAAAAGTTATGATTTCCAAAATACTTTCCAAAATGTTATGCCTGGGTGTCTGCGGGCAGTTTGTCTGGCTGCCCGAATCTCTGTACTTATCCACATCTTAATCACCTCTTAGTCCGATCTAGTCATCTTAAAATTCTTTCTAGTTCCCCTTAAGATTCATATAACAGTATTGTGATACACGTGTACTATATGGGAGTGTTTGAAAAAATAAATAAATTTAAAACACAAAATAAAAAGACAAAAATTACATATTTTCACATAAAATTACCAGAATAAGAAATAATAAAATTGAATAATATTATTTCAAATTTTGAAAAAATAAGTGTACACAACATTATTAGTTTAATTTATAATTTTTCCATCCTTATTGCAACACAAAATTTTCAAGCCTCCCCAACTTTTTAACTCTAAATATTGTAACATAAATTTGACCCTTGATCGACAATCTGACGTCAGCAATAAGTAATTTGCTCCAATATTCTTTTCCGATAGAACCTTAGCTTCAACAATGCCTCCCAATGTTTCATTTTCATTTTTTGGGTCGGAATAAAACAATGAGAGATGTTACGGTCTCGTTACGAAACCATTCCGTCAGAGTTACATGATGATCTAACGGTTACAAACCCGACGGAATGATTCCGTAACGGGACCGTAGCATCTCCCTAAAACAATACTCAATGGAATTACAATCTAATAAAAATAAGACCAAAAAAAAAAGTTCTTGACTGGATTTGTACATTGTGCAAGAAATAGCAGCAACTTACAAGCAAGAATCACGTTCAACACACTGAAATTTAACAGCAACATCAACCATATATAACAAGAATGGTCCACACATCAAACTTTAGAAAATACAATGTGCATCAAAATTTGTTTGATCAAACAATTCAAGCTTTTAAACCAGTCGAAAGAGCTGAAAAGCAGTTGAAATAACTGAAGATGCCCCGTCTCGCCTGTTAATGAGATTTAAAAAAAGAAATTTGAAAAAGCAAAAGGACCTTATTACATAGAATTGTGTTGTTAATACAACATCGATACATATAATTATGTTACCGAACGGACAAAACTATTACATGTGCTAAAAGCTCTTCTTATCCAAGGACCACCAAGATTTAAATCAACCATATGGACCTTATCCTTCAGCAATTGTCATGAATTCATATTTGGATTAATAGCATGTTTTTCCCCAAGTTGTCGGCTACATGAAAGAAATTTAGAAGATGCCCTCGAGGTAATTACAAAAAAGTACCTCAGCTTTAGGCCATTTGCAGAGAATAAAAGACGAAGAGAAATCTACCATAACAAAAACTTGAAGAAGAAAGTTCACTTGTATCCTCCCTTTAAAATTATTACAAACAACATCTTATAGTTTTATATATCTAAAAAGTACCTTCACAAAAAAAATGTATTAAGAAACATAAACACATGTCAATGGAACTTAAGGAATGTATTAAAAAGTACCTTCTCACCATTCTCATTGTCCCAACCAAATGTTTCCATATATAACTTCTTTTACTCCCACTCCCAATTAATAGCTATATACAAATCAACTTGTTCAATGGCCCATTGGTTTCTTTCATGTATTAATAACCAACAACTAAGGATATCTACTCTTCCACATGAATGTATAAAGAAAAGGAAAAAAATTTAACATACCGTTTGCGAACCAATTGGACGATGGTCTTGAAGGTCATTATTGTGAACTGTGTTTGAGCTTCTTGTTTTTGATTTGATGAGCTCCTCTTCATTACCAAGACTCGCCCTAGAGGGGTCCCTTTTGTTCTGTTTTCTCATCTCTCGGATTTTGGAAAAATCCATGGAGTAATCGGGGAGCTCCCCCTTTTGGTCCCAATCGCCGAATTGTGGCACAGAGAGCCATGGTGCAATTTTCTAGAAAAATAAAACGCAAAATACTTATGGTAAAATTACATGAGCCCGAGTTATCTTTCATGTTTCTCACATTTTTCAGTTATTAGATTGTTGCATGAACTCTTTCTTTAATTTATAACCAAAGTAAACCTCAAGCAACAGAGTTTTGCAGCCAGTTTTGCTAAAAAAAATTAAATACACATTCAATAGAAAAACATATCTTCTTTGAACAAGCTTTGGGTAAAAAACAAGGATTAATAAGTAGGAAAATAAGCAGCCAGTTTTGCTATGGAGCAATCGGATGGCTCGCCTTATGGAGCAATTGGATGGCTCGGCTTATGGAGCAATCCACACTTATTCACCAATAGTGTATTGACACGTGTCTTACAATACAATTTGGACATGTGTCAATAAATTAACCAATGGATGGCTCCATAAAAAAACAATCCGATTGCTCCATAGAATTTTTGAATAAGCAGCACCCATTGACACACAACTGTTTGAAATTATAAAAAACGGCAATAATTTATGCTTTAAATATTCAAACTCCTCATAATAGCTTGAATCTGTTGTGTATCATTATCATGTCTGTTATCTGTCAATTGACCTCTGCATGTCACTAGCACACAGTGGCAAAAATTGACTTCTCAAATGGTAATGTGGTTGGCCTCTTGTGACTTGAGTGAGCTACCGGGTTGGCCTCTTAGACTTATGACTTGCGAGTGAGGAGCCGTGCATGTGGCTGCCCACTACGCTATTGTAGGCCGTCTGTCGGCCCTTCGAACATCAATTTTGATCTAAAAATTTATTTTTACCAATAAAAAAAAAAAATGACTTCTCAACATGGTAATGTTCTGCATTTTTTCCCTGGCCCATGTAACCATTATCCATAAGAAATATCAATTACTCATCGCTGAAAGAAAACAAGGAAACTACAGAGCAACCCATCAAGAACTAACACAGACAAAGCTTACAGTTTTTACAATTTTCCTTAAAAAATTGCTCCTTTATTTCAGAACATATGAGAAAAAACTAAGGAAAATTTGATCTACACCAACAACTTTCAATTAACACATAAAAGTGAACCCACATGCACAAAGCAATTAAGAAGCTCAAGGATGAGAAAAAAAATAATTTTTTTAACAAGAAATTAAGATAAACAAAAAATTTACCTCCTTGCGGTCTTCCATTTTACTATAGCTGCAAAAAGATTGAATTTTTACTGAAAATACAGCAAGCCCTTTTTCTTGCTTTCACAGAAGAAAAATGAATACCAGCCTAAAACTAAAAGAACACACTTCCCTTTGTCCTATGAAAAGCAATATGCGTGAAAGAAGGAAGATAAAAGGGTGTCGAAAAGTGGGGTTTCAAAAAAAACAATAAAGATTCAAACTTTGAAGAGGCACAACAACAGAAAGAAGAACTAATCATGTGGGTAGGATTTCTTGAAGAGTGAGATCAACTTTCAGAGCATATAAAGTAGGGTGCTTATTAAAGTAAAAGCAAATAAGAAATAAGGGCTGAGGTTGGATATATTCTACAAAATTGCCACTGTATTTCACATTATTTGAGGTGGGTTTGGTAAGCATAGTTTATAATCTTCGTTATTTAAATAAGTTTCGTTCGATAGGTCGAGTTTTTTTTTTTTTTATAAAGTTTCGAGTTTATCTCGTAAGTTTCTTAGGTGGCTTTTCAAATAAATCAATTGTAGTTTTTTTATTTCAGTTTCTTATCAGCTAATTTTACCGAACAATTTTATCATATAAGTTAACTTTTCAACCATAAATCATAAGCTATCAGTTATAAACTCAAAATTCACTTAAAAACTATAATCTAGATTATCAAAACCTATTGAAGTGCCTATTCAAGACAAATCAGAGGAGAACCGTAGCTTAATTAAAAAAACCAAACCCGGAGAATTTGAGGTTTTGGAGGCCAACTTAAAATGGCCCCACCAGTTCAAATGAGAGTTGTGGTGTGGAACTCTATAGTGTTGGGTGAGCCTCTATAGTTTCCCATAAAAGGAGATCTCAAGGTTCCACCACCCAGGTATATTCTTTATTTTTGAAAAAAAAAAGTACATACAATTTGTAGAAATTTGGTTCTAGGGGATAATTGGTATGTTGTTGAGCGAGTTGGTAAAAGTGGGGGTTTATTGTTGCGTTGGGATAGATCAGTTCAGATTATCAGTGTGTTAAAAAATAGCTTATGTATTCAAGTCCAGTTCTGGAACCTTCTAAAGCAGTTCTTTGCTGAGGTATCTTTGTATATATTAGTACTGATAACAAAGTTAGATCACATAAAAGGGATTGGCTAGTTCAAGAGAAAGTTAACTGGGAAGATAACTGGTTTTTAGGGGGAGATTGTGATGATCAAACCTGTCATGAGGATAAATAAAAAGATGTGGAAGAAGAAGATCTGAATCATATGTTTCAACTTTCATAGATTTCATTGCCGAAATGAAGATGTCAGAGTTTGCTTAGAAGGGCTACAACTTCACTTAGGGTAATAGAAGGGATGGAGAAGGTTATGCCGAGGAGAAGCTAGACATGATCATTGGATCCTTAAACTGTCTTGCAAGCTACTCTACAACTTCAGTATCAGACAGATTCAGAAGTTCCTCACATCATGGACTACTTATGCTCAACCGTACTCCTGAAATCACATGCTCCAAAAAAAAATGGTTCAAGTTTGACAGCAGATGGGTAGGAAAAGAAGGATTCTAAGAAGTCGTGAAAAGATCTTGGTCAACAGAACAATCTGGAACACCAATGTACCAATTCTGCTCCAAAATCAAGGCAACTAGACTTGAAATTCTCAAATGGAGCAAAGGGTTCAGATCAACTAGGGCTACAAAAATCGAGCTTTTGAATAAAAAGTTAGCTGAGATTCATTATCAAGGAGATTAAGAGACTGGAACTTTTGGGTATCACTAACCAGACAACTTAATGAGAACTACAAAGAAGAAGAGCAATTTAGGAAGCAGAAAGAAAAAAGTGGACTAGACAAAATTTTCAGATACTTTCATGCCTACACTTTACTAAGAAAGAAAGTCAATTCAATCCCCAGACTAAAAAATGAAGACAACTCAATAAGTGAAACTCAGGAAGAAATAACAACCTCTATAGAAGTGTACTTCAAGAAACTCATCCGTCCTGATGGGTCTAGTGGAAGAAATGAGGCTCTTCAATACGTCACTCTAGTCATCACATATGACCAAAATAAAGACTTGATAGGGCCTGTGGGAATTTAGGAGATAAAGGGAGTTACATTCAGCATCAACACCCTCAAAGCACCAGGCCCAAATGGTATGACCTCTCTCTTTTTTAAACACTTTTGGGATTTCATTTCTCTTAATATTTATAAAATGGTCTCCAATTTCTTTGAGTAAGGGCAAATCTTAAAAAATAATAGTCACTCACTGGTTACCTTAATCCCAAAATTCATCAACCTTTTCAATGTGAGTCATTTCAGACCTATAAGCCTTTGCAGTGATTCTTACATAATTATCTCCAAAATTCTTGCATATAGGCTCAATCCTTGCATGTCTTCTTGTATAAGTGATAATCAAACTGCTTTTGTCCATAATAGACAAATTATTGATAATATTATTGTGACCCTTGAAGTTGTGCATTTCTTGAACATGCATAGAAGCGGCAGGAACTGTTACATGGCCATTAAGCTTGATATGTCTAAGGCTTTTGACAAAGTAGAATAGGAGTCCATTAGATTGATTATGCTAAAACTTGGTTTTCACAACTCTTTTGTCAGATGGATCACTTCATGTATTTCTTCTCCCACCTTTTCCTTTAACATTAATGGCAGGGGTAGTTGGTTTTGTGCAGGCCTCTAGAGGTATTAGATAGGGGAATCCTGTATCCTCCTACATCTTTATCTTGATATTTGAGATCCATACTTTTCTCATTAAAATGAGGTGCCAAAAGTATAATTTAAGGGAGTCAAAATTTTCAGACATAATCCTTCTCTTACTCGCCTATTTTTTGCTGATGATACTATGATTTTTGCTAAAGCCAATGTGTCACATGCTATGTTGATCATGATTCTCAATCAATGCAATCTCATAACAGGCCTTTGAAGGTACTTGACATCTTCTTATGCCAAACTGATAGCCAAAAAATGGAATCAACTGGACATCCCTAAAGGCAGCAAAGATCCTTTCATTTCCAACAAAGTCATGAAGAGATTCTAAGGGCTCAAAATTAAAGGTAAAGTTAAACACTTTACTTGGTCTTGTTATAACCCTACTTGTCAATTGTAATATCATCAAGAAAGGAGTAAAGGTAGATCCAATATGTAGAAGCTGTGGTGAAAGTTCAGAGACTCTCGAGTATGTTCTTTTCCATTTCCCAAAGATCCAATTGTAAATTTTGTAACTCATATCGTCTAATATGGTTTATAGTTAATTTATTTAGTTGATAAATTATAATTTTATTAGGTTATAATTAGAATTAATGAACAGTGTAATTTTTTTTATACATACAATATGTATGTCAAATCTAATTTTTTATTTAGTTGTGAACTCCCAAAATATAAGTGTTTCAACCCGAACCAACCCTATAGGTCGACCTGGGACCCGGTCGACCCGAATCTAAAACTGGTCTGGATGAGTTATTCGGACCGGACAATAACGGACCCTGTCAAACTCGGTAGAAACCCAGTCGACCCAGGGCATTGACCCGTCTGGGTCAACCTGGTTGACCCGACCCTTATATTTTTAAAATATTTTTATTTTAAAAAATAAAAATTATGTATATATATTTATTTTTAACAATATTATTAACACTTTGATGCACAAAATTTATATACTAAAAAAATTAAAATTTATTACTATTATGTATATATAATTTTAAAATTTTTGAAATTTATTATCTGGTTCAACAATTAATCCAGCGATTCGACGGTTGAACAAATGACCTGCAGACTTGTTGATTTTTGGGCCGAATTTAAAAACTATACAAAATATAACTTTTGAAACCAAATGTCAACCCTTAGTTAGATTTTATATTTCCAATTTATATGTGGTAGGCCTATCATGAAATTTGTTAACGTGGCATGGGAGTGTGAGGTTGATATCACTCCGCATTTTGTGAAATTAGCACAAACACACATTATTTATCCCCATATCAAACCATATCACTAAATATATATTTATATTATAAAATATTATAATTTTTATTATATTTCAAAGTATGTCATTTGAACATTGAATTATGTACTATACATTATTTTAGCATTATTATTGTAAAATTAACGAATTAAACTTAATTTAAAAATTTGAACATTCAAATTTGCTAAGTAAATTGTTTGATAAAGAAGTTATTTAATTAGAGATGACTCCTAGTATAACATATCAAAATAATATTTCAAATAAAATAATTATTTAATAAACAAATATTTAAAGAAAAAACATAAATACTATTCCAATCAGTCTTTTAACACAAGAAATGCTAGTCTCGAAAACATTTCGTCAGAGTTTGTTATATCATCATGTAACCGTCTGGAATTGATCTACTATCAATTATTCTCAATTTTATTTATCCATTGTTTTGAACGGACAATTTTACCCTCGAAGACTCTCATTTTTGCTCCAGTTTGCATCATCGGTGCAAAGGAGAGAGGAGACTGCATTGCGCAGAGTTATCTTTCACTCTCTCTCTAGAGTCTTGGAAGCCCTCCTCACATCTCTCTCTCTCTCTCACACACACACACACGAACACACATATTGATTCAACTCACAACCCACCAAATTTACGGAGAGGAAGGAGAAATGGGTCTTGTCTCAAAACTCCAGTTCGTGGACCTCCGGTCGAGTTTCCTCGCCGGCGCAGCCCCTCTCACGAGCTCCTTCCCCGCCGCCGCCCGCCGCCCTCTCAACCGCCGCTTTTCCGCGGCGTCCCGCTCGCTAAAAGCGACAGCCGTCCACCCCAACCTCCTCAGGCACCGAGCCCGAATTTCCTCAAAATTACAAGCCGTTGCCACCGATGCCACCACCTCCGCCGCCATCGTTGAGGAAGAGGATATAGAATCCCTCTTTTCTGATAACAGTTCCGAACGGCCGGAGGTCAGCTACAAGCGCGGGAACAACAGGAGCTCGAGTGGCGCCTCCAGTATTTCCTCGGGCGTGAGGTTAGAAAACGTGAGCAAGAGCTACAAGGGCACCACCGTGCTGAAGGACATCAATTGGGAAGTTAAGAAAGGCGAAAAGGTGGGTTTGGTGGGCGTTAATGGTGCGGGGAAGACGACACAGTTGAGGATTATATCCGGTTTGGAAGAGCCGGATTCGGGGAATGTGATTAAGGCGAAGAGCAACATGAAAATTGCGTTCCTGAGCCAGGAATTCGAGGTGGATTCTACGAGGACGGTGAGGGAGGAGTTTTTGAGTGCGTTTAAGGAGGAAATGGAGGTTTCGGCTAGGCTTGAGAAGGTACAGAAAGCAATTGAGAAATCTGTGGATGATTTGGAGCTCATGGGGAGGCTCTTGGATGAGTTTGATTTGCTGCAGAGGAGGGCGCAAGCCGTAGATTTGGATGAGGTTGATGTTAAGATTAATAAGTTGATGCCCGAGCTCGGTTTTGCACCTGAGGATGGAGATAGGCTTGTTGCATCCTTTAGTGGAGGGTGGCAGATGAGGATGTCACTTGGGAAGATCTTGCTGCAGGTACAAATGATTCTTCTCTGTTTATTTTCATGGTCTTTCATATTATGTGTTTGCAGGCTTATAACTATTAGGGTGGGCCTGGATTTCCTTTGATTTGTGGAAAATTCTACAGAGGGTTGTGATGTAAATATGTAATAGACATTGGGAGAAATAATAACTTATAAAAGTTCTTCTTGAACAATTTCAAAATGGGGTATAATATTTTCTCACAAATTGAAAATAAGGAATTTTGGCATCCAGTTGCACCTCTTAGTGTCTTGTGATCGGTTTTTAAATGAGAAAATGGAAACTTTGGTTGGCAGTTTTGCATGGATTTTTTGGTATGACAGCCGAGTATACATGAGTCTTGTCCATGTGAACTAGTGGTTCTAGCATGCTTTTGAATTCATGCCGTTGTGTATGGAAGTTTCTTACGTGATTACATGTGAATCAATTTTCAGAATCCAGATTTGTTGCTTTTGGATGAGCCGACAAATCACCTTGATCTCGACACAATTGAGTGGCTCGAGGGTTATTTGAATAAGCAAGATGTTCCAATGGTCATCATATCACACGACAGGGCTTTTCTTGATCAACTTTGTACAAAAATTGTAGACACAGATATGGGTGTTTCAAGAACATACGAAGGAAATTACTCAGATTATGTCATAGCTAAAGCAGCATGGGTTGAAGCTCAGTTTACAGCATGGGAAAAACAACAAAAGGAGATAGAACAGACTAGAGATCTTATAAGCCGGTTAAGTGCTGGAGCAAATTCTGGTCGTGCTTCTACTGCTGTAAAGGTCACTATTGATGTTTTTCATGTCGTTCTAGTATTTGTATACAAACTTACAAAGTGTCAGGCGTACTCTCTTGATACATATAAAACTTATATTTGATGCTCGCGATGAGTTCGCTTTATGTTTGCAGTGTTGCTTAGTCCTTTACGATTGGGAAGATTTTAAGTTGGACCACATTTTCCATTTTCCTTCGCAACTAAAAGTTATTGAACTTTTAGTAGTGCACTACATGGTGCTTCCTTAGAGTTATTGAACTTCATTTTCTTGGTTACCTTTTTTCTTGATATTGTTTTGGTTGAATGATGTTTGGTATTTTGTTCAAAGCTGTAAGTTGATCGAAATTCTTCTATTTCCTTTACGATTTGTCTACATAGGAAAATTATGTTGGGAAAACTCTTATTAAATTTTAGTCTCTGAATAGAAAAAGCAATTTGGACACATACACACACTGATGAAGTGATTCGGACAACGTAGCGACATGTCTTCGACAAATCTTTTACGTAACTGATAATCTAATCCGCTTTCTATTAAGTTCAGACCTGAACATCAGTTATCTAATATATTCCTAAACAATTATTTATGTCCATTTTCTCATTATCCTTTAATGTTTTTGGTCACCCCAGAAGCTGGAGAAACTTCAGAATGAGGAACAAGTTGAGAAACCCTTCATTCGCAAGCAAATGAAGATTAGATTTCCAGAACGTGGCAGAAGTGGGCGATCTGTGGTGTCCGTAAAAGGTTTAGATTTTGGTTACGAGGATGAGGTAATCTTTCTCATCTAATGGTAGGAAATTGTTGACGTATCAACTTACTGTATTTACTGCAACAATTTAAACCTTTTACGAGGTTAAAGTATCAAAGATGTCTCTGGTTACTGATCTTTGAAGAAGCATCACTGAACTGCCTTTTTTTTTTTTTTTTTTTGAAATAAAAAAATTGCCCCCAGGTTCTGTTCAAGAATGCAAATTTGACGATTGAAAGGGGAGAAAAGATAGCCATTCTTGGGCCAAATGGATGTGGTAAAAGTACATTTCTTAAGCTGATTATGGGCATGGAATCCCCGGAACGCGGAGAGATTCTGCTTGGAGAGCACAATATTCTTCCAAACTACTTCGAGCAGAATCAGGTTTGCTCTCTGTGCTGTTGATTTGTCTCTCATTCATACAACTTTCCTTCGTTGCGTAGTTTGAATATGCGTTTTCATTTATTTTGACCTTTTCCTAATGTTTGATGGGGAGTTATTGTTATTTTTTCAGGCAGAAGCACTTGATTTGGATAAAACTGTGCTTGAAACCGTTGCTGAAGTTGCAGAAGATTGGAGACTTGATGACATAAAAGGTCTTTTGGGCCGATGCAACTTTAAGTCTGAGTTACTTGACAGGAAGGTTTCATTTCTAAGTGGTGGTGAGAAGGTAATGATTCTGATAAATCTTCACAGACTTCTGACATGTTTTAGTATGCTATGTTATCCTTGATGTTTTATTCAACTGCTTGTAGCTAGTAATATTTACTCAGTCGCAAAGTAAAGGCTAAAGACAAATAATGAAGCTTTAAGCGTTTGGTTTCATAGATGTCAGTAAATATCCTGTATATGTGGAATTTTGATAAAAATTGACTGGGAACTTATTGTGCATGTTCACCTGATTAGCATTTAGTTAATTCTATTTTGGCACGGTGATCGAATGATTTTTCAGTTATAAGTTGTCTACATACTAATTACTATGATTTTCTGTCTTGATATGGTAGTTTCTATTTGACTTTTTCTTTCCTTATGAGTTTCTTAATAAGTTAAAATCGTTGCCTTTTGGAACTTTACTATCTCCCATGTTGCACAACCATAATTCCATCCCATTCCTTATGCAGGCTCGGCTTGCTTTTTGCAAGTTTATGGTCAAACCATCGACTCTGCTTGTTCTGGATGAACCAACCAATCATTTGGACATACCCACAAAAGAGATGCTCGAGGTTTTAGTTTCTAAATGCTTTTTTTTTCCTCTTTCCCTCTTTGTGACTCGTGTCTAGTAATGCTTTCTCAAACAAGTCTCTTCATTTATTTTTCATTTGTGTTGCTTTAGGAGGCGATAAATGAGTATCAAGGGACTGTCATCGCGGTTTCTCATGACAGATACTTTATAAAGCAATTTGTTAACCGTGTTTTGGAAGTAAAAGATGGGGTTCTTCAGGACTATTCAGGAGACTACAATGTAAGTCAGGATTTTTTAGGCTGCAATATGGGAGTCCTCGATGTGGGATATTTTCATGTTCGTTTTATTTAAAGATTATATGTTTTTGTTTTAATAACAATTTTCAATAGTACGCTATTCTTCTCCCCTTTTTCATCACCCAATCACATATATGGTGGAAGAAAACAGACAATTACTACCATTTCCTACTAATTTCCACTATTCACACCATATGTATCCAATTGCCAATAATTTTGATCAGCATTTTACTACATGTATATTCTTCACTATGAACATGAGTTTCTCATCTCACCGCCGATCACACTCCCAATATTAGTCTATTTGTCCATTCATTTATTTTTATTATTATTATTATAAATATTCTCTGAAGGTGACAGATGAAGAAACGGCATCTTATGCAATCACTCTTTTATTTTTTTTTTTTATTATTATTATTTTTTAATGCAATCAGACTCTTAGCTTATAAGTACTGTGCAACTTGTAATTGTGGGAGTAGAAAACTCGTAATTTTTCGAAATCCGATTTACCTTCATTGTGAATTATGTTGTCATCTTAATTGTATTCTCGATTTTGTTTTCTGACTACTATGACAGTATTATTTGGAGAAGAATCTTGAAGCCAGAGATAGGGAGCTCGAACGGGAGGCAGAGCTTGAAGAGAAGTCTCCAAAAGTAAAAGCTAAATCCAAGATGTCCAAGGTTTTTTTTTTTTATTTTTTATTTATTTTTTATTTTTTGACTATTTATCAATCTATGTGGTATATTCACTATCCTAGACAACTCTGCTATCAGTTAACGTCCTTGTAATTAACCAAGTACGTTAATCATCGATTGTAATTAGCGAAATACGTTAATCGTCGATTTTTTTAACCAGGCGGAAAGAGAAGTCATGAAGAAACAGAAAAGACAGGCATTTCAAGCTGCTAACCAGAAATCAAAAGCATTGAAGAACGCTAAGAGATGGAAGTAGAAGGTTCTTCAGTCTTCACACCGATGCGTTTATGTTTGTGTTCATATGTTATGTAGATATAGACACACAATAAGATAGAATAGGTGAGATAAGCTCAATGTCAATGTGAAGGTGGAGATTCATTGTTGTTATGTTGGCCAATTCAGATGGCATTTTCACCCTTGTATTTAACTAACCAATGCACACTATCCATTTCGATCATTTTGCCCTTAACGACGTTATTTTTTATTTTATTTTATTTTTTTTTCTATGAAATTCCTATTATACCTTCAGAAATTCACTTAAACAAACATACTGTCTACAAGGTTTGAATTTGTGACATAATGTATGTCACATATAGATGATTTTACCTATATTAGACATGGGGAATAATACATTAGGCTGGTTTTGATTTTTTTTTTTCTTTTTTAAAATTGTTTGGTGTTTCTAAATGTGCAATGTTTATTGTATTCTAAATTGATACTAAACAAAATTCATATAAATTTTGCAACATTGGCGTATTTTGGCTGTTTGACTTTTTTTAATAATGTCAATCATGAACGTGTAGGTGTTCACATGGAACCACATTTGGCTGATACTCGTGCGCACCCTTGACAACCTTTGACCGCCGCGAGCACACGCACTATCTAAGAGCTCTTCAGTCCCAAGCCTGCCATGAGCTACCACCGACTGGTGTACTTACTCGCTAGGATGAGTTCGTCTCCCACCAGAGGCAAGCCTGGGACAAGCCGACAAAGGATATTGGTGCACGTCAGAAATATTTGGAAACGATGCACAAGATAGTCAAGACTCATAGACGCATCAATCTTGGGACTAGCCGTTTGGCATCCATGTCCAAAATGGGAGAGACGATGAAGATAAGGAGGAACATGATAAAGACTAATCATATCAGTTCTGAAGTTGCTGCTAGTTTTATTTGCTTTGAGAGTTTTTATTATGCATTGATGAAGGAGTTGTAAGAATATTTGAATATTTGGCTTGGTTGTGCTTCTTTTATTTGTTCCTAGGATAACAACATGAGATGTTGTTTGAATATCTTGCACACAGAAGGAGAATATCCGAATCAAGCCCGAAGAAATATGACGAAGATCTCGACCAAGATTCAGTAATTAACAAACCAGGAAACATTGTTCATGCATGTTTGTTGAACAAAGATTTTGAAGATCTTTGTTCAATGAAGCGGATCCAATTTAAAAGTAAGCTGACTCCCCAAGGAAGAACGTTGAAGACATGAAAATATGAAGACATTTTACCGACTTGGAAATTGTATATATGTCTTCACGAAGACTCATAGACATGTTGCTGCAATTACGATTAGTAATTTAGTATTGAGTTCATTATTCAAGATAGTATCTGAAAGTTCGTGAGTTGTTTTGGGGGTGATTGGATATGAATTCAACTAGTAAAAAACTACTTCTCTTAACTATAATTAAGTTTGAAAAAAAAAAGTAGTATGATTAGTTGTTAGTGGATATATTAAAATAATATTTAAATTAAAATAATTAAAGTTGATTTGATGTAAAAGTAGGAGAAAATGATTGGAAGTGAAGGTTAGTTAAAATTATGTAAGTGGATGAATAGTTAATTAAAGTTGATGTGATGTGTAATAATGATTAGATGGTATTATTTAATTATATTGATAATATTGGAGATAATGGAGTTGAGTTAAATTTAAGTTTTGAGTAAGATATTTACTGTAGAATTCATAAACAATCACGCCCTTTATATTTTCATAGATTATATATTCACCAATTTAATTTTGTGTTCTTACATTACTAAAGAGTTGAATCTATTTATTCTCATAACTCTCGCGTACATAAGAATTAAGTATTTTATCAGTTTGGAGGAATTCGAAATATCTGTTTAATCCACGTTGTGGCCACATAAGTAGTTAATAGTTTCGAATATAATTGTGGTAGGTTTATGAGGAGTCCTAAACTTGTAATTACAAATTATACATCGTGCACGCGACCGATTTGATAGTGAAAGAACTCCGAAGGATAGCGAAATGCTCTTGCAGACTAATTTGTTTAAATAGTCGCTCCTGCTTTTATTTTTTGTGTTCCTACACGTGTGCTACTCTATAAACTCCCTCACAAATTATTATCATCATCATCATCATAAATTACACTTTTTAAAATATTCAATTTCTTCCCAAACCATCATTTTTTAAGCATACCCAAGCACCGTAAACTTTGTTGCATGCATTTCTAAACACATTGCCATTTGACATTCAATACATCTAAAAATGTCACACATATGTTCAAATTGAATCCAATTTTTATTTTTTTTTTAAAAAAATCATATTACACAAGTTGCCTTCACATATATAGTTCAACAGTCAACCCAAAGTAAAACATTGCTTAATATGATAAAGATGGCATCTATAGAGAAGAGAAAAACTAGAAATCTTCAAATAAAATAGATAGATTGCATGTAAGAAGCCCATCACACACCACAAATCACAACCCTAAAACAAACACATAACCCCATCTCTCCCATCCATTCAACCCAACCTCTTGGCAACCCTAACCTTCAACCCATCCTTCATGTACAATATCACCGAACAATTCGGCGCCACTCGATGGCCCTCGACCACAGACACCCGGTAGTTAAAGATAATCGTGGCCACGACACTCTTTATCTGGCTAAACGCCACTTCTTTCCCCAAACACGTCCTTGGACCAGCATTGAACGCTAGGAACTTGTACGATGGCTCGTGTTTGATCGTCCCCCTCTCAGTAATCCACCTCTCGGGCTTAAACTCCAAACAATCCTTCCCCCAAATCGACTCCATTCTCCCCATTGCATACAAGAAGAACATCACCTTCATCTTCGGGTTCACATAATGCCCGCTCGGGACAATGTCCGACTCGGTCGGCATCTTACTTTGGAAAGGCACTGGCGGGTACAACCTCAACGCCTCGCAAATCGCTCCGTGCATGTAAACCAACTTACTCGTCTCCTCAACCATAAAAACTCTCAGTTTTTTCCCCCCATCATTTCCCTCTCCCGAGCCGCAAATAACCAACTCCAATTCCTCTAGAATCTTCCTCTCCACCTCCGGGTGAGTTGAGATGAGCCAGACTAGCCACGTCAGCGCAGAACTCATCGTGTCGCGACCCGCGATCATCAGATTTAGAACCGTATCCCTAAAAAACTCGTCTTCGTCTTCGCCTTCACACAATCCCCGACTTATGTACAAACTTAGCAAGTCGTCGTCGTCGCTCGATTCCTCACTCGATAAATTCCCCTTTTTCATCAAATCGTCTCGTTTTCGTACAACGTACCCGCCAATGACCTCATCCAAAACCCTCTGTGCGTCTCGCAACTTCCTCTCGGATCCAATCTGGGCCCACCTCTTGAACTTCCAAACCGTCTCGGGCAGCACGTGCCGCATGAAGACGGCTTCCTCGGCATCGTCCATGGCTTTCGCATATGGGACGTCAGGCATTTCCGCAGAAAGGCACCCGGGATCGTAACCCGTGACCAAAGCGCACGTCGTGTCGAACGTGAGCCTCTGGAAAACGTCCTGCAGATCAAAGACCCGATTCTTTTCACGAATCATCGTCTCGAAAACAGGGATAAGGCCGGCCTCGATTTTCTCGCGGTTCACCCTCGCGAGGCGCTCGAAGAATCCGCGGTGGCCGAGCAGGGCGCGCGCGGCTTTCCTCTGAAACCTCCACGAGTCGGAGTCCGAATTGAAAATCCCTCGTCCGAAAACGTCGAAAATTTCTCTGAACCGGGGGCCTTTCGGGAAGTTCTGGAAGTTGGAGCTCATGATGTAGTGGACGTCGGCCGGGTCGACGGTGCAGAGTATCTCCATGTTCGAAAACCATGGACCTCGGAAGAGGAAGGTTCCACGTGGGCTCTTTCTCAGAACCTCGGTGCAAATGTCGTGGATGTTTTCGACAGAGAGCAAGAGAGTCGGGAGCATTCCGATCACCGGCAGGTTCTTATAAGACACCCTTTTGTGAATCTTGGTTCTCCATGCCCATATGGCTAAGAACCAGACTGCTGATAGGAAAATCTCTAAGTAATAAGAAGCCATTGTTGTTTTGGTTTCAAAATTTTCTTGCTTTTGCTGTGAATTGTAGAGATTCTTTGTGTGTTGAGGCCACGAGAAATAGGCGTACAAAAGGGTGAAGTGTTGGTGATTTATTTTGGCAGTAACCTCGTAAATCAGTTATAAAATTGGTGGGTTTTGGAAGTAAGCTCGTAAATGTGTTTGGTGAATGCTGGCAAAAATGTTTAGCTCATTTCCCATTATTATATTAGAGTATGAATACACATTTTTTTTTTTTTCAATAATAAAAATATGCGAAATTACATTTTTAGTCCTCCTGATCTAACGCCGTAGCATTTTTAGTCCAAAGATTTTAAATTTTGTCTTTTGATCCTGACATAGTGCTAATAATGGACTAGATCAAAATGACTCAATTAAATTCTAGTGTTTCTTCTATTAGTGAAGTTTCTAGTAAAAAATATATCAAACGACGCAACGCACCTTGGGTCGCTATGGAAACAGTCTCCGTGTATAATTACAAGGGTAAGGTCTGCGTACAACTGACCCCCCACACCCCAACCTGTTAGGAATATACTGGGTATGTTGATGTTGATGTTGATGTTTTTTGTTCCTGCAATTTAATATTTTTCTACAATTTCAGTCATTTGGGAGTGAAAATACAAAAAAAAAAAATAATAAAAAAATTACTCAACTTAAATTGCTAATAAAAAATCAATCCAAAAGATTTTTTATCAGCAATTTAGGTTTTGTAATTTTAAATTTTGCTCATTTTCAGTCCCAAAAGACTGAAATTGTGTTAAATTTTAAAATTATAGGACCAAATCGCAAAAATATTCAATTCTTAAGACTAAAAAATGCCACTTGATCAAACCAATAGGACTACAGTTGTAATTTTGCCTAAAAAATAATGCCTTTTAATTTTATGTAAAGTGCTAATGGTGATAATTAAAGTGTAATTAAGGTGTGATGCACGTCTCCATTCATCAAAAGTTAATAGTGATGAGTGAGAGCCATCCATACGGGTGACATCGACTAAACTATCTAACATTTTTGGTATACGTATATATAAGATTACGAAAAATCAGTAGTCGACGTATAAAATTACGAAGCACCTGTCTAACACTTTTGATATACGTATGTATAATATTACGAAAAATCAGTAATCGACGTATACAATTACGAAGCACCGAAAATTGACACAGAGATTATGAAGAACAAGTAATCGATATATAGACTTACGAAACACTTGAAATTGACGCAACTTAAAATTCATGTAATTACATGAATAGTATCGTTTTTCGATTAGTATATGTTATATATATATATTTTTTTTATCAATGTTAATTAGACAAATAAACAATATACTTACAATTGAAATTTTCCACGAAACTCCATCTCTTAAGCCAAAAGTATCGGCAAAGACTTCCTTAAAGCTTCATGTTTTCTTACTTTCCACACCACATATCATTAAGGGGAATTAATGTTTACATATAATTTGAATGTGCAATATTTCATCAACTTCATTTTTGTATATGTCCGATGTAATAATCCAAATAAGACCAAATTTTAATGTAAGATATATGTCAGATGTAATCCAAATAAGACCAAATTTTATTCTAAGAACTAACCATGAACACTATTTTTTATTATGTGTACTACTATGATTTATTTATTTTTAGTGTTTTTATTCAAAATCAACTATATATATAAATAAGTGAAGAGTTTTCGAGTAAATATTTTTAAAATTATGAGCTTTTTTATTTAATATTTATGCTAGAATTTTAGGTATAAAAAATTCCAGATTTTCATACGAAGATAAAAAAAAATAAAGTATATATAGCTGAAAATAAATAAACACGAAAGACTCAAAATTTAGCATACAAGTGAAAATCAAAATGACAAAACATTCATTGAAATATATCAATCACAGTGCTTTTTAAAAAGAAAACCCAAAATATCTCCACACGTCTAGTGAACTACGAGAAACAAAACGTGAGAGTTCGAAACAAGATTCACTTTATCGTATCATCAAATATATCATGCCAAAGTAAAAAAAAAAAAATAAATAAATAAATAAATAAAATATCAAGCTGCTCCTTTAAATCTTCTAATCAAACCATGCACGCAGCTCCTCTTCCAAAAATCACAACTTGAGTGCTGGCAACTGTTTGCTTTTGTGAATATACCACAAGAATTGTGTGTTTCTAGTTTCTTTGTCCTTAATTCTTCACGCCTTCTCCACTTTATTTATTTATTTATTTATTTATTTATTTATTTATTTATTATTATTATAATACAATAATACTCTCCCAAAAAATCACATACACCTATATTAAGATAAATAAATAAAAGACAATTGAAAACACGTTCTACGTTTTCATGTCCAAGCAGCAACTGAAAATGGCATCACTAGCCAGCCAGTCTCAAAGAGTAAAGAATGTGTAGTACTCTACACAACCCACCCAGAAAATAAAAATATATATAAGTAAAAACCCACAACAGATAGAAACCTGAAAAATGGAAGAATGGCAGCAAGAATAGGTCATTCAATAACAGCATCTCGAAATGCGATATTAACCGGAAGAAAAAACACTAGCGGTAATGCACACTTGTGTACATATTTATGAAAAGTTTCCCGATCATACATTAATATCCATACGTTTTGATCGTGCACTGGGCAACTCATGGGATGAGAATCTCGGGAGGTTATACGTGTCGGGTGTGGACATGGGCTGCTGTGGGTAAAGCGTGGGAGGCGGGGTCAGGTTGCGCTGAGCTGGAAGCGGAGGCAGCGTGTTGTACTTGTATGGGTCCCCTCCAATTAAGCTGTCAAAAAAAAAAAAAAAAACTAGGATAATAGATCAAAGTCGGATCGTATGAAATCGAAGATTTTGTTGTATAACGAGTTGATAGTAATCATCAGGGCTGTAACTAAACGTCATTTCTAAAGTACTTAGCTTGGCTACAAAAAGGTTGCGGTTAAAAATCGGAAATAAAATCGTTGACATGAGCTACTATTACATTATTTTCACATTAGTAGGAGGAAGTATCTGTTCGCACAAACACAAATAATTGGGACTTTAATTAGCCTGAAAAAAATAAGGGAAGTTCACGTAAACTGATTAAAAAATAAAAAATACTGAAATGGGGAGCAAAGCAACATGACTGATGGTCAGCCTTGTAAATTCGCTTTACTCTCGAGCTATGCTGATAGCTGATTATCAGCATGTATATAGCAACATGACTTATACTTATGAAATGAGGTTCTTAGGCTCTGAGCTAATAGCTGGTGGCCAGTAGCTGTTGGGCAATATAAATTGCATTTAGTTGAATTAGTGTACTAGAATTGCCGATTGAAGATTAATTTATCGATATAAACATGATAGAAAAATATAAGTTAAATGCTAAAAACTTAAGCAGAGTATAGAAAAAGGATATCTACATCATAAAATGGAAACAAAGATTTACGAGAACTAGAAAACAAACCATGTAGTTTGGCATGCAAACTTATAAGGAACTCAAAAAAAAAAAAATGGATAAGTAAATAGAATTGTTTCTCCATGAGTACCTTGAACTTTTATACAGGTGGTCATCATCACTCGTGATTTCACTTGATTGTGTCAATGGTCTATTTAATTGAGCAGACCATGGGCCTGCACCAGGCAAGTCATCTGAGAAGTATCTCCTCCTGATCAACTACAGATTTAACATATAAATTACTTAGAAGATATCACCAAGATAAATGGCAGCTTAATGTAGTTCGTCAATTAAATTACAGACCATACGGAAGAATTTCATCACTGCTTCCTTGTCGTAACGGGCTTCCTTGGCTGCCTGGATTGAGACCAAATATTTGTTCAATAATCAAACTGTAGCATACAGATACAGAAGCTGTTTGTCTTAAACTTCACTACTATAAGGCGCTTCAGCTTAAACTTGGGATAATACAACATTGAACAGAATTCCTAATCACTTGCAGATTAATCAAGTAAGTAGTTAGCAACTTGGCATTTCTGAAACTCCATAAATAGCTCTTGATATGAGATTACGATTAAGAATAAAAACCGGTTTATTACTTCAACTTCAGGTCTTCAGATTAGCAAATTCCACCTTCAGGACATTCATTACCCTTTAAAATTCAAAATATCGTGATATTTCATACATGTTTCCGGGTAAGAGAGATAAAGCTCATCCAAAAGATTCAAGACTCAATAAATCAATACCAAAGCTTTTCTCATGTGAATACGGGTTCAATGACCATCATCAAACTACAAATAAAGTCATCTCAAACTTATGAATATAAATCTTTCTCTCTCACACACAGACATACACACATACTCGGAATTCATTAAGAACAGCAGAATTGAAGCCATGTACTACTGCAGAAAAAAATGAAGAACCAAATTAGGCAAAAAAAAAAAATGTTGTATACATCATCTTATCATCTGAGTAATCACAAACCTACAATTAATATAAGGTGGCAACATAGAATGACTAAAGTCAACCAATACCTCTTAACAATCCAAAATATTCAAACTGACACGATGAAAAAGGTATTAACTATACAGTCAATCTTATGTTGCATGAAAATAAAGGAATCACATCTCAGAAACAAAAGCATAAAAGTAGTATGAACCTTATACACAAAACATAAACTTACTGCTAGAAGGCCTCCACCACTTGGGAAACTCTCGGTTAAAGGAATTTCCTCACTTGACGGAAGTAACCCCTGTTTCTCAACCCATTGCCGAGCTACATCTACAAGATTGCCACTACTTCCTCGTGTACCCTCTTTTGAAGCAATATCTGCTTTGTTACCTATAACTATATAAGGAACAGGAAGCCCACCTGGGCCTCCATTAGCTAAAGGAGCTGAGAATGTCCCGGTTGCTGCAATCTCAGCAGCCCACTTCTGCAAGCTTGTCTTTGTCCTTCTTTGAGAAAGATCGTGAACAAACATAACGCCTGAGAAAAATAAAAACAAAAATAAATGGACACAGAAGAAGAAAAAATATTTTCGAAAACCTTGCAGATAAAGGAGATCAAAATTCAAAAAAAAAAAAAGAAAAAAATTGAAACGGAAAGGTATAGAACCTGAAAAGATTCTAATCAACACTAAATTAAAGAGACTGCTGAAGAATAATTTCTGCGGGTTACCCTATTATTTACTAAAAAATAGGAATCATGCTCTGACAGTAAAGCTATACTTCTTTGAGCTTTCTCATAACAAAATCCGATTCTCTCAAACAATCAAAAGAAAAGTACCATTAATTTGGGAATAGAACAGAGAACGGCAATCTTTATAGCGTTCATGCCCCGAAATGTCCCAGAGTTCAACAAAAAAATCTCTCTCCGAGTCAGCTCTGATGCTACTGGATGAGCTACCAGAGTTGCCATAGGTTGTATGCTGAGAGGGACATGCATAAAAATTTTAAGTGTCTACAAACAACAGAGGATTAACTACATATAAATGCTACCAGTTCCCCACTTGAAGGTGAAAACCCAACCTTGACATCAACAGCACAACCAACAGTTTGAGGAGGACGTGCAATGGAAGAACCTTTCATAATCAGATGAACAAGAGAAGTTTTTCCCACACCTGAAGTAAGACGGAAGTTAATATACAATTCAAGATACATAAAACAATAGAGCAACTTTTTTGCAAACCTTACAACTGGGGAGAAAAGGTGTCACAAAACGTAAGATAATAATTTCAAACTTACAAAATTAAAGTCCATTCTAATAAAGTCACAGAGTTTTGTTGGAATTGTTGGCATGAATTTTGGCTCAAACAGTGAACAAGGCAATAAGTCAGATCTGTAACCCCAAACCAGTGTCAAGTAACCCTTGTACCGATCAGGTAAACTACCATATAGAAATATAGAACCTAAAGAATTTTAACAAGATATTAAACTGAATATAACTGGTAGTAATAAATCCGTCTGGTACTTACATGATTGGTTAATCTGTTTGCCCCACTATTCCATCATATTTTAATTCCTCACAATATTAACACGCTTACTGAGCTTCACAAGTTGATTTGGATGTCCATTCATCCCACCAGATTTATTCACAGCCCAATTTTAGAAACACTACTGATTACAGTTATTGAATAAGCTTAAAGTAGACCCTGTAATATTCTTTCACAGATTACAACATTATTCGTATCATGTTATTTAAAGATGAGAAGTCCCAATGTTTCTTTTCTTCATTTTTTAATTCCTCAAAATAAATACTAAACTAACTCATAAATACCTCCTAAGCCACCTATTTTTTTCCTCGGACTCCTATTATTTCTTTTCTTCTTTTTCCAATTCCTTAAAATAAATACTACACTAACAGAAATTTGTGCCTCCTAAACCACTTAATTTCTTCAACTTTAACCAGTACATGGCTCATAGCTAGACCTATGCATCTAAAGAATGGAAACCCCGTAAATTTATTCATAAGTGCATTAAGCTCAAGAACAGAAAACCCCATTACATCTACATTGAGTGCCAGTCATGTATCGAAATCAGTGTTATCAAATGGCATTATGGCGTGGCGGACTTTTGACAAGCCACCATGCTAAATTTTGAAGGATGGCAGTTATAGTGGCGGCATAGGCAGCCAAGGGAGCCGCACTATGGTGGTATTTTGACAATCCGCCATTTAACGCCATCTGCCGTTAGTAACACCGATCGAAATAGGGAAAAATATGGATATAAGCATCACAGCTTTCTGATGACAACTGGCCAAACACATGAGAGACAGAAAGCAAGCTAAAATCACTTTCATGTCCTTGCAGACCTATAGTTGACATAATGCAGAATATAAACAGGATTCAGTTATTGAAAAATACCCATAGGTTTATACCGAGCCCATGAAGCCGTTATATCATAAAGCTGAAAGTAATAATTCTATATGACTAAGCAGTAAGCACCAAAGAGCACCCTCAATCAGACAAACATGATGACAACAAGAAAATATTGCTGGAGAAAACAATTTATACACAAATACAATGACAACCCAAGATCTGTGTGACAAAATAAAGTTACCCGAGTCTCCAACAATGAGCACTCTGACCTGTCCGACCGGAGGCCCCCCATTCTGCTCCTTACTCTCCCTTTCTCTTTCTCTCCAGAACATTGTCTCCTCCTCCAGAAACAGAATATTATCTCCCACTAAAACTTAAATTGTAACAAATAACCCAGAAAGTAAAATCACCAGAATACAACCACAAGTCCAACAAATCTCCACTAAAAACAATAATGTCCCAGGATCGATCTTCGAGACTCCCACTCAAAAATCCGACAACAACCAGTTCATCCCCAATGACCCAAAAGGGCGGATCCCTCAGAATTTCCCCAAATAATCAATCACCTTGAATCATAATATATCCACAGAAACATCGCACTCGAAATCAAAGTTCTTCAAGTATGAAATCGATAGGGTTTGAGTTCAGAACAAACAGGCAAATGAGATCTCAAACGACGCAGCCTTATCCAAGCATCAACGCTCTATATCACCTGAAATTGCGAGCTCAGAGGGACCAAGAATGGGTGTGATCTCACCTGAAATTGCCTTAGCAATCTAGAAAATGGTGGCTTTGGATCAGTGCCGGGGAATGGCGGTTTGAGCGGTTGGGTTCAACTGTTGAGCTACGAGTTGGGTCACATGTGTGATCTATTGTAGCGGTGCTTTAAACGTTATTTAGCAAATGCGACTTTAGTTACCCATATCGAAAATGGATACAATTCTATTTAAGAAATTGATATTCATTTATTTTTATTTTTTTTCTCTTCAATTTTGTCTAACACTATTAAAAAATATAATTAAACCAACAAGGGTTGACTCAAGTGGTAAGCAGTTTGATGTCGCTTAAGCAAAGTCTCGGGTTCGAGTTCTTGTGAATGCAGAAAACCCTTGTTAGAAGACTCACCCACTATTGCCAGGTGTGCGACCCGTGTCGGACAAAGCTCCAAATACTGTGGCTGGCTACAAAAAAAAATGTAATTAAACCATTACTACACTATTTTCAATAAACTTCATTATTTATCTACTTATATATTTTTTTACTATTTATATCACATCCTTCCTTATATATATAAATAAGTATAACTCAATCATTACTATATATTTTCCAGCAAAATTCATTGTTTATCAACTCATATATTTTCATTATTTATCATTTACATTCATTATTTCACTATTTTTTATATCACATATATAAATGAGAGTTGCACAAATCTATATATGTGCCAACTTACCGTGCTTCATGATCATATGAGTCAATATTTAGTATTTCATAATCCTAATGTCAATTTAATTGCTCTAGGCTAGTTTGAATAAAATTAAAATTTCTATCAATGCCTATTAGAAATTTAACATTTTTAAAACATTACTAACTAACATTACAAATAAATTTAAAAACCAATAACTTCATATTTGTTAGATTTTTATGTATGATATATCAAATTAATCATCAGAAGCTTTTTATTTGTATCTACACAACTGAGAATCCCGTGCGATGCACGGGGTTTCGTATTTTAAAACATTTTTTCAAACCTTCATTTTAGCAATATATTAGTCCGCTGACCCGTTTATATTAATATAAATAATATTTTCACATATATATTTAGTTTTTAATACAAAAATAATAATAATATTATATACTTTGGTTCATCATAATATTCAAATATTATTTTATTCAAAAATTAATTGTCGTATAATGTCATTATTATTTATAACACTTATAGAAATAATTTTATTTTTTATCTAATAACATATATTTATATTAATATTATTTATTTGATGTAATTAATTTAAAATTATATAAGCAAATTTAATGTTTATTAAGAATATGATTATATGTAAGGTAAGATAAAATGCAATGAATAAATCGAATAAACCCATCATTTAAGAGAACATTTAATGCTGCTTGATTTTATGGTAAATAAAATTCAAATAATTTCCCAAAGTGACATCCAATTAATTTTGGCATATTTTTTTTTTTTTTTTTGTTAAACCTCAACGACATGGAGGCTATGGACTTGAGGGGTACAGATTTGGCTGTCGATACTATTTGTTAGGTAAGCTCCGTGTCTTTTGATTTTATTACTTTTACAATTTAGATTAAATTATTAGGGTTCATGTGTGTCCTGGGCTTACTCAGGTTTGTACGTGTTGCTGGGCTCGCTCGATGAGTACATGATGCACACAGAAAAAATGAAGATGAGGATAATTTGGTGTCCAAGAGAGATGTGATCGAGGGCATCTTTTACTAAAGTTCGAGTCTTGATTTTATTAGCCATCTTTTACTAAAGTTCTATTTTTTTCTTGTTTCACTTCTTTTTTCTTTTGAAAGAAATAGGAGCCTAACTGCCAAACCTTTCATATTGTTCCATTGTAGGCTACTAAGGCACTTTTTTATGGACATTTGCTTGATGTTTATTTTACTTGATACTTCTACAAGAATATCCTTTGGGTAAGGTTGGCTTATCATGATATAGTGGTTGTTGTTCCAGATTACTATAAAAACCTAAAATGGATGTTGGAGGTGAGTTATAGTAGCATCAAATCACTTTTTGTAACTGAGAAATTCAACAGTTGGTACTACATGGTTCCCAATTATTTTATCT